TCGCCCTGTCTGTCTGCTTTGCTTTGCACCCCAGGTGCCGCTGCCCCCCGACACTCGCTGTTGTTACTGTCACACCTGCACCACCCATCGTCCTTCTTACCTGCCGCTGCCGTCTGTTAGTCCTGGAGTCAAGGTCTTGCGTCCCTGTCTGTGTCCGTCCCTGTCTGTGTCCGTCCCTGTCTGTGTCCGTCTCTGGGGCCGTGGCCTCCAGCCTGCGCGGCGTCCTCCTTTCCTGCCCCGCCCCCGCCGTCCCGTCTGTGCTTCAGCCCTTGTTCTGTGTCCTCCCATGGAGGGCCCGTGCGCTGTGGTCTCGCCGGGGCCCTGCCACAGCTGTGGGGCTCAGAGCACGATGCCCAGGCAGCGAGGCACCCGTCGGCCAACAGCTCTGAGACTCCCCGGGACAGGCTGCCCATGTGGAGGCCCAGCATGGCCCTCCCACCATGATCCCGGGAGGGAGTCGCTCCTACCACACACACACATGTGCACACGCACAGACGTGCACACAGGCACATGCGCACATGCACACACACATGCACACATGCGCGCGCACACGCAGGCGCGCGCACACACACAGATGCGCACACAGACACATGCGCGCACACACAGGCACATGCGCACGCACGCACACGCATGCACAGACACGCACACAGGGAGCCTGCTCTTTGGACTTTGGCCTCGGGGGCACAGCTGTGGGGCTCAGAGCACGATGCCCAGGCAGCGAGGCACCCGTCGGCCAACAGCTCTGAGACTCCCCGGGACAGGCTGCCCATGTGGAGGCCCAGCGTGGCCCTCCCACCATGATCCCGGGAGGGAGTCGCTCCTACCACACACACACATGCGCACACGCACAGACGTGCACACAGGCACATGCGCGCACGCACACACATGCACACATGCGCGCGCACACGCAGGCGTGCACACACACACAGATGCGCACACAGACACATACGCGCACACACATGCACATGCACACACATGCACACATGCGTGCGCACACGCAGGCGCACACACACACAGATGCGCACACAGACACATGCGCGCACACACAGGCACATGCGCACGCACGCACACGCATGCACAGACACGCACACAGGGAGCCTGCTCTTTGGACTTTGGCCTCGGGTGGGCCCTGCATCCGCCAGGCTCTGCACCCTCTGGGGCTTCTAGTGCCAGGTGCCAGCGGGCGCTGCTGGAGAAGCCTCGGGCTGGCGGGCAGCTGGTCACAGTCACCCAGACATTAGAGATGCCCAGGGGGAAGGGTGGAGGGGGAGGGGCAGCGGGGCCCTGTTGCCCCGGGCGCAGGTGTGCACTCCACCTGACTCTGCCCTTCTTCCTTGGCAGCTGGAACCGCCCGACGTGGAGCCAGATGCCCAGTCCCATGCCAGTGTCTCCTGGGTCGTGGACCCCAAACCAGACTCTAAGCGGAGCCTCAGCACCAAGTACGAGACCACTATCTTCTAGCACCCACCCTCTCCTCCACTAGTCTCTGTGCCTTGCCGCCTGGCCTGTCTGCTCTCGACTCCTTCCAGCCACTGGCGCCAGGCCCCCAGGGACCGCACTGCCCAGCAGCAGCTGCAGACACTGTGCTCCCAGCTTGTGCCACCACCGGACACTGTGAGCCCCCTGGGCACGGACGGCTCGGGGGATGACTTGCCTTGAGGGGTGCCAAGCGGGCTCAGGGCCCTGTGGCAGGCACTGTGCACCTGCGGGCGGGGGCGCTGCCATCG